CTCCCTCCTCTCTCTGTCCCCCCCCCCCGCGTGCGCACGTGTGCCCTTTTTACCTCCCCCTCCTCTATGGACACTTGGCAACTCCGAGTCCGTGCGCCGGATGGAAGCCAGACGGTGACGCTGGCGCCGTCGTCTTCGGTCGCCGACCTGCGGCTTGCCGTGGAAGACGTCACAGGCATTTCTGTCCCGTTCCAGGCTCGTACGTTGTGTGGTGATGCACTTGCTTCTGCGATTGTGGGCGTCTGCCTGTAGGCGTACTCTCTACTCACTCCTTTCCCTTCCTGGTTCTCGCCACAGTCAAGTTTGGCCGTCCGCCCAAGCTCCTTGGCCGTGACGGCGATGAACTCACGCTGGAGGCTGCGGGCCTGGCCAACCGGGAGACGCTGATGTTGTCGGTCCTGGCCGAGCCTGAGGTGGCGGCGGTAGTGTCAAGTATACAGGAGCCAGCGCTGTCAAGCACAAGATCGGGCTCTAGTCCGGCGTCGAGCTCGGCGCACCTGCCTCCTGCGCATGCGGATCCTGAGCTTCCGGCCGGCGGCTGGGCCTGTCCGGCATGTACCTTTAGCAACGCGGCAGTCATGCCGGTGTGTGAAATGTGCGGGAGTCCATCGCCCGCGTCGCAGGGGAAGGCGGCGGCGGCGTTGGTTGGCGGAATGCGTGGCCCGCAGCTCCACACCTCGGGCACCATGGTTCGTCGAGTCATGGCCGACGACAACTCGTGCTGCTTCACTTCGATCTCGTACCTGATGTACGGCGACCGCGGAAGGGCGGCCGAGCTTCGCGAGCTCATTGCAGCTACTGCAGGCGCTGACCCAGAACGCTGGAACGCCGCAACGCTCGGCAAGCCTGTGGCCGCGTACCAGGCGTGGATCCGCAGCAGCACGTCATGGGGCGGCGGCATTGAGCTCGCCATCCTCGCCGACTATTTTGCTGTGGAAATCGCCGTCATGGACGCGCAGACAATGCGGATGGATGTGTTTGGCTCGGGCTCCGACTACAGCACCCGCATCTACGTCCTCTACACCGGCATTCACTACGACGCGCTGGCGCTGGCAGTGTCCGAATCTGCGCCCGAGACGGCCGACGTCCGCACCTTTTTGCCTGACGATGTATACGTCGAGGACCTCGCGCGAGGCGTGGTGGCACATGTCAACTCGGCGCACGGCTTTACCGACGTTGGCTCCTTTGCTCTCTTTTGCCAAGACTGTGGCACAGTGCTGCGGGGACAGAAGGCCGCGGTGGAGCACGCGAGCAAGACTGGTCACGGCTCGTTCGTCGAGTACCGGGAGTAGCGGGCCATCGGCGGCTACCGGCGCTTGAGCGCCGCCAATTCCGCCTCGAGCTTGAGGCGCTCGGTTTGCCGCTGCGCCTTCTCCTTCTCAAACAGCCTCTCGTCGGTCCGCTGAAGAAAGTCCTGGCGCTCCAGATACGCGTCTTTGCGCTTGGCCTCGAGCTCGGCCGCCAGGTTGTTGCTCTCTTTGAACGAGTTCCAGTCGAGGGCGGTTTTGAGCCCAACCGTCATCTTCTTCTTGCCCTTGAGTTTGGAGAGGAGCGCGTCGACCCGATTCGACTTTTGCGCCCGCCGCGCCTCGGTCGAGTTGGCCGCCACCTCCTTGGTTACCGCCACCGTAGTGCCTGCAAAGTCAAACTCTTCTGTCAACGCCACCACTCCTGGCTTCCTGCTTGTTGTGCGGCTCGTCTTGCCAGCCATGATTTCCTGCAGCGACGGCCGTGCCTTGGTCGCCGCGCGAGATGGCGGCGGAGCCGCGGCCGCCGGCGCTCGAGCAGCAGCTGCTGCGCTCGAAGTCTTGCGTGGCGCGGCCGCCTTGGACTTGCTCCCGCCGTTCAGCTCGGCCCAGAGATCGTCGACGGTGGCCTTGCGCGCAGATGATGCCTTGACCTCGTTGGCTAGCCTGGCCGCCTCTTCCTCGGCCCTCATCGCCTCGGCCAGCTTCCTCGTCTCCTCGGACATGCCGACGCCACGGCGCTTGAGCAGCTTTTCGTCCTCATCCAATGCATCCACATTCCGCTTCCGCTTCCGCTTCTGCTTCTTCTTGCGCAGCCCATTCGCGCCTGGCCCAGCCCCAGCTGTGACTGCTGCCGCGGTCCCGGCCTCGACCACCACCTCGACCTCGTCGTCCGAGCCAGCCGATGGCATGTAGTCCTCATCGTCCGACGACCTGTACCCGTCGTCTACTCTGCCTACCTCGGCCATGGTTGTCCACAACGACGCGAAACGTGTCGACGAGTGGTGCGAGTTGCCGCTGCTGTCGCCGTCACCGTCTCGTCCTCGATCACCATGGGGTCTGCCCAAAGCCCAGCCCACCGCTTGTAGGCAAGACAACGTCTTCCACTCGACGCACAAGGTGACTGACAGTGGATGCTGAGGGCTGCGGTGGCTACGCTATGTGTGACCGGCATGGGTGCTCTGGGGCTCTCGCTATGGCTCCCGCCGTCGAGGCTCCCACCGCCAGCCTACACGGGCGCATCGCCTCAGGCCAAGGTCGCCGAGGCCGTGCTGAGCGAGGCTGAGCTGACCCGTGGATGTCGGCACTTTTCGCTCTTGCAGGCCATGTGCCACCCGCAAAAGTCAAAGGTCTCTCCGCTCCCGCCTGATGCCTGCGAGCACTTTGTGCGCGTCTTTGAGCAGTGCCCCGGACGCGGCACCTACGAGCTGACCCCCGCGCCGGTCAATCTCCACCATCCGCTGCCGTCACGGACCTATCCACGCGCCTCGGCCGGGCAGATCGCGCTTTGGCGCGTGGCTCCGCTCCCACACGCCATCTCCTTCCGCTCCCGCTACGCCAAGCCTGTTGTTCCTGCATCGGCTGCTCCGGCCGAGTAGTCGGGCCAGCCAGGCACACCCTCCCCCGCGCGCTCTGCCCAGCCTTTGCAGAAACGCTTAGATCATGGTGCCCACCTCCATGTCAAGCCAATCGGGGTGAGATGGAGGAGTCTGGGACGAGTTTCGAACAGCCGACTGACGGCTTGCCGGCACCTCTTGCTGCTCACGGTGTCCGCCACGTGTCTCCCCCTTCCGCCCGACCCATCGATGGCCTTGTTTGAAAGCGGGTCCATGTTGCCTGGGGCGTTTGACGCGTGGTCGTCACAGGAGGCCGAGCTCCAGGCACTGCTGGCGTGCTCCAGCCCTGCGCTGCGTGACGAGCCGCTGCGGCCGGGCTCGCCGCTGTGGCTCGGCGGCGGAGGATCGGCAGCCGGGCCATTGTCGGACGGGCAAGCTGGCGGCTCTTCCCCCACCCCACCACCTGCACAAGTCCCAACCTTCTCGTCACTCCTCTACACCTCGCCTACTTTGGTCCGCACCTCGTCGGTCAAAGCCGCCCCGCTGCTGCGGTCGCTTTCGGATGGGTCAGAGAACTACGACCTTTTTCGGACGGGCGGCCCTGCCGACGCTGCCCCGTTCTCCACCCTCCCCCTCCCGCCTCTCCCGCTCACCCCATTTGAGGCAGGCGCTGGACCAATCCAATGCGAGCCGCAACCGCTGCGTACCCTCTCGTCGTCGTCGTTCTGCCTGGTCGACTCGCTCGAGCTCGCTGACCTCTCGGAGCCGCCGCAGCCGCCGCAGTTCTCGCTCGACTTTGAGCCGCCCCTCGTCCCGCTCCCTTCACCGCCGCCCCAACCTTGCAAAGACGTAGATGAAGCAAGCAGCAGCGAAAACTCCCTCAAGCGGCGGGCTGCCTCGCCGGCTCTGCTCGATGTCTCCGCTGCCGGCGCCCACGCGCCGAAGCGCCCGCGGCGGCAGAGGCGAAAGCGCGACGCCGCGGCGGCAGCGCTTCCGCCGGCGCCGGCGCCGCGTGACTACAATAAGGAGCTGCAGATGCCGTGTCTGCCGTGGGCAGTGGCCAAAGTCGACCTCTACGGCTGTGCTCCAGCTGCTCTTCCTGCGCCCTGCATGCTCACGCTCCTCCATGCCATCGACACGCCGGCCACCGGGGCGTGGATCAGGCTCTCGACCTGGCCGCAGAACTTTGAAGCCTATGCCGGACGCATGATCATCATCCGCCGCAACGCAACCGCCCTTCTTCTCGGATCGTGTGGGCGTGCTCTGCGGCCGACCCACCAGTGGAAGGCACCTTCGTCGTGGAAGACGCTCGCGGTCACCGGGCCCGACCTTTACGTCCAATACCGGGTCCGGGCCGACAACTCGTTTGCCTACCGCTGCTACGCGCTCCCACATCCGACTGCGGCTGGACCAGACGTCTCGATCACTGTCATGCACGTTCTGCCCCGCAAGAGTAGCTAGATCTGGCGTCCAAACATGAAATGAATGTCAGGCATGCTTCTGCTGGTGTAGTCTGGCGCCGCACTGTCGCCGCGTCTTCGGCCCAGTCACACCCCCCGCACCCCAGTGCAAACACTTGACCATGGACTCTGGAACCGAGTCTGACGACCCGACCGCGACGGTTCTGGCCGCCAATGAGGGCGCATTCTATGCCAGCCCTGCCCCACGGCCACGGCATGGGCGGCCCCGTACCCGCACCTCCTCCTCTTCCTCCTCCTCTTCCTCCTCGTCGTCGTCAGGAGCAACAGGCTCCTCGGCCCGCTCCCGCCACCACAACAGCGAGAGCAGCAGGAGCCAAGAGGGCAAGGGCGAAGATGGAAAAACGCAAGCGTCTGATGCTGGCGGTAGTGGCGACGAGGGCACTAGCGAGAGCGGCGGTGAGCGAGCGAGCAGCCAGCCGCTGCGTGTTAACCTTGCCCCGAGCGGCGATGACGGCTCCGGCCTCCAAGGCGATGGTGGCGATGACGGGCGGCTGGTGGTCAATTGGGTTAATCCAGGCGAGTGGGATCTTGGCACCCCAAGTGATGACGATGATGGTCAAGGTGCGGCCGAGAGCGGCGGCATGCTGACGCCGTTCCAGTTGGCGTCGGGTGCGGGCGTGTCGCTGAACAAGTCCTGGGCCGAGAAGTTGGTCCTGGCGTCGACCGACGTCGAAAAGGTGCTAGAGGTCTACACTGAGCATTGCAGAGCAAACAACGTGGTGCCGGCATCGTCATTTGCGGCCAATCCCGCGGTGGCCCACCTCGACATGCGGCATCTGGGCATCGGGCCTCGTGGCCTGCAAGCGCTGGCTGAGGCCATCAAAGTTGATCCTGTTGTGACAAAGCTCAATCTCGACGACAACTGGCTGGGAAGCGACGGAGTGCCGGCGCTCATTGACCTGCTCACCGGCGCGCCGCATGTGCGGAGCCTCAGCGTTAGCGACAACAGCCTGGCGTCCGGAGCCGCGGCTCTTTTCGCCTCGATGGCCTCGAACGAGACCCTCACCTGCCTCGACGTGAGCGGCAACCAGATCGGCGACGACGAGACGCTTGCACTCGCTGATCTGCTTGACGACAATCATACGGTGGTGACGATCAAGGCTGCGCGCAACTCGATAGGGCAGATTGGGGCGAGGGCGATTGCGCACGCGCTCGAGAACAACATCATGGTCGAACACCTGGACCTGTCGTGGAATGCGATCCGACTGTCGGGCGCGTCTGCGCTTGTTCGCGCCGCTGCCATGCATCCTACTCTTTTGTACTTGGACCTGGCGTGGAACGGCCTCGACGACGCTGCCCTTGTCTCGCTAGGCCGCGGCATTCGCGCCTCGCCTTCGCTAACCTTTCTCTCCATTGCGCACAACCGGTTCGGATTCAAGGGCGCATCGGCACTCGCCGATGGCATCAGAGTCAATGTCACGCTCGATGAGCTCATTCTCGACGGCAATGTGTTGGCAACTACCAAGGGCTCGGCTGAGCGGGCGCTAGTGAGTGCGCTGGAGGAGAACATGACGCTTGCGCGTCTTTCGCTGAATGGCGTCCGGCTCACGACCGAGACTGCCACTGCGCTGGCCGAGATGCTGCGTGCTAAGGAGGCGACCGGCCACGTGCTGAGCATCGAGCCGGTGTCGCTTCTCCCGCAGCTTGGCGAGTGAGCAGCAGCGCGTGCTCAAAAGTCGTCCCAGTCGGGCCCCGAGTCGTCGTCCGAGCTTGAGCTGCCGTCGTTGAGGCACCCGAGGTGGTGCTCGTCGGCGAGGCGGCGGATGTATTTGGCGGTCTCGGTCTTGAGGTAGGTGTACACCGGTGTCGTCCATCCAGGACCGTAGAGGAACTCGAGAAAGGCAATGGGCTGCGCCGGGACACTTGCCTGCATCGACGCCACGTTTGCGTTGGCGACCGGGAGGATGAGGTCGACTGGAAAGCCCGGCGAGAGCGAGAGGTCGCCGACAACGCCCTTTGCGCCCTTGCGGCGGAGGAAGACCCGGCCGTCGACAGACTCGTGCCGCGAGTAGGGAACCAGATCGATGCGAGGTGCATTCCACAGCCCGTGCCGCAGCATCTCGTGCTCAGTAGAGAGCGGGTGGCCGTGACTGAGGGCAACATGGTAAAATATGTGGATGTTGGCGGTTGAGGTGACGATGGCCACGCCGCCAAAGGCGGCCGTGACTGCGGCTTGCAGGCGCTGCATAAACGGCGAGCCTTGCACAAGGTCGGTGTCCGGCGATAGGTCCACGTCATAAAACCCGATGTCAACATCGTCCTCCCATGGAATGAGGCCGCCGTCGCGGACAGCGCCAAGCAAGGTACCGCCGTCGAGCCAGTGATGAACAATGCCCATGGCATGCATGACCTCACCGATTCGACCTATGAGCTCCATCATGCGTGTTGCGCAGCACGGCGGCGTGTTGAGCCCGAGTATGTTGACAGCATACATCATGGGGCACGGCGCCGACGTCGTGGTACATGCACGCCACTGCCATCGCTGACCAGCCTGATCGAGCCGGAGACTATGCTTCAAGCCGTGAGAAGCCAGAAAAGCATGCGCGGCGTCTTGCGTCGGTACTACCACCTCGCCAGTCTCCCCGATGGCTGATGCTACCGTCGCCGCCGTCGCGGATCCAGCGTCGAAAGCGTCACCAACCACCGCCAGCGAGACAACAGCCTGGGCATGTGGATCGAGTTCGATCCAGTCGCGCCGGCCAGCAAATAGCGCAGCATACAGGCGAGCTTCAATGCACGCCAGAAAGACCAGGCCTGCGCCCAGGGCCACATCGCGGGTCAGCCCAACTGTGGCGAGAGAGGCAGCGACCACGCTGGCGACCTTCCGACTCTGCCACACCCATCGGCGGCCCCATTGAAACTCGGACCGAATCGCGTCACCAAACGAGAGCGGGCGTCGCCACGATGCTGCATATCGTGCCGTGCCCTTGATCACCACGTAGCCATAGGCGGCCAGAGCTGCGAGCAGGCAGGCGGCCGAGGCCATCGAGTCGAGGCAGGCGGCAGCGGCACTAACCACGACCGGCATCAAGCATCGCATCCGCCATCCGACCACTGGCCAGGCCAGGAGCAACGCATACCATGCCCTCAGCAGTCCAAACATGTTTGCCAGTCGCAGTAGCAACCACGGATCGGTCCTGCCCACGCTCGAGCCCACGGCAGCAGCCACATACAGACCGAGCACACCTCCAGCTGCCGCGCCCTCTCCCCACATCACCGCGCCACAGGCTGCAACGCCCAGGATCTGTAGCACATAAGCGTATGTGGTGTTGGCAGCCATGGAGAAGAGAGGGGTGAGTCAATATCGCTGTGTCTGGGGGGGGGGGGAGGGGGTGCGGGCGGCGGAGGTGCGTTTGTACGACTCGCTGTTGTCGCGGCGGTTCTCGGCAGCCATACATAGCACGCGTCTTTGTTGATCGCGCCGACTGATGCTCGTAGAGGCTGGTGATGATCACACACACTTGTGCTCATCGCGAGGCAGTTGCCGTCGCAGTGGGTGATCATCACTGCCTTGATGCACATGATGCCGTTGATGCTCATGCCAAGCACAACTCGGCAGTCATGCTGATCGTCGTCACAGATCAGTGCGAGATCGAGCTTTCCATGGCCACCTACTCGTGTCCCCAGCCGAGCTGCTGTCCAAACTCCCTTCCCTGCCCGACGTTTTTGACGGCAACGACGACACGAGGGCCATTCAGGCTTTTGCTGGCACACGGTGGCTAGGACACGGCCTGGACCAGTCAGACAGCTTACCAGCCCACGCAAGAGCCAGTCAACCACACCTCTCACCCCTGGGGCGCGCGTGAGACTCATCATCATGGGTACCCAGTCGTCGCGGGAGAAGCCTAAGCGGCGACAGGGTGCACAGGAGGTGTTTGCTGGCGAGAAAGGCAACGACGGTGGACGACGGAAGAAGGGCAAGGGCAGCAAGGGCGAGAGAGCGGGCAGAGTTGCAGGCGTTGGTGCGGGGAACGGCGAGACTGTCGAAGTGCCGGATGGCTCGGTGGTCAACTTGGCCGGGTGCTCGCTGGAGGAGGTGCCCATGAGCCTGGTGGTGGCGAGGTGCCACGGCTCGACCGCCAACTTGCATGTTCTCGTTCTCTCCGACAACAACATCACCGCCGTGCCCGAGTCGGTGGTCGGCCTGTGCAACTTGACCTTTCTCTCGCTTGCCAACAACGCGTTGACTTTTGTGCCGGCGTGCATCAGCGAGCTTGTCTCGCTTGTTGAGCTCGATCTGAGTGGCAACGCCCTCACCGCTCTGCCCGACGGCCTCGACCTGTCGCGGTGTAGCAACCTGGCACATCTCTCGCTGGCCGACAACGCGCTCTCCTCGTTTGACGTTCGGCTACCGCAAACCTCGCTGGCTCGTCTTGATCTCTCTCACAATGCGATCGAGGCCCTGCCTGAGAACGCGCTGAGCTCGACGTCAGCGCTCCTGGATCTCAACCTGGCCCACAACTCGCTCGACGTGTTGAGCTCATCAGTTGGGCGGAGTACGTCGCTGCTCATTCTCGACCTCTCGCACAACGCGCTCAAAAGCGTGCCTGCGAGCCTGTACTCGCTCCGTGCCCTGGAGCAGCTCTTTCTTGCCCACAACGAGCTTGCAAGCTTGCCGTCGCCCGGAGTGGCGGTGGCGTCATCGGGCTCGGTCTTTCCAGCACTAGCGGTCTTTGATGCCTCGCACAACAAGCTGACCAAGGGCACAGGGTTGGAATGGATTGCCAAGCTGCCCGCGCTCCGGACGGTGCGGCTCAACGACAACGCGGTTGCCGACTTTCCGCCGGCGCTCGCCGACCTTGCGAAGCGGCTGTGGTCTTGCGATCTGACCAAGCAGCGGTCGAGCGTGCCGCGGCGGACGTCGACCTTCTCAGCGCTTGCAGCCAGTGACGCCCAGGAGGCTACGGCTGCGGCGTCGTCGCGCAAGACGAGCAAAGGCGACAGCTCGATTAAGGCCATGGACAAGCTGCTCAAGAAGCTGGACAAGGCGTTCCAAAAGGCCGAAGAGCGGACCAAGAAAGGGCTCGGCAAGCTGGGCTCGCTCATGGCGTCGACCCGGTCTGCACTGGAGGCCGCTAACGATGTAGGCCGCGTCCACTTTGTCAACGGCGGCGGCATGGTCATGCTTGTCTCGCTACTGCTGTATGTGCGCGATGCCGACGACGACGGCGAAAAGGGCGCTCGCGAGGCACACGAGGCCCTGATGTGGGCGGTCTACGCTGCCCTGCGCTCGCCGGTCGGTCTGCGTGCACTCACAACCATCCACCTTCCCGCATACATCATGCCCGAATTCCGTGAGCAGGCAGCCAAGTCGGCCACCCTTCCACCCAAGCGGCGTGGCACGCTCCTTCCAGACGGAACCATCAAGCTTGATGCGCGGAGGCACAAGCGGTCGCCGGCGTCGGCCACGCTCCAGCGCGTCCTTACGCATCTGCTGATGTCGATGCAGTTTGAGTCGATGGCTATTCGCGAGGTCCTGCTCCGGGTGGTGTACGCCGTGCTCGACGCTCAGCTCACACCGCATGCCTCGTCGGTGGTTGTGCTTGTCTTTTCGGCCACGACCGCCGTTCGTGGGCTGCCGCTCTCTGCGCGCTTCAAGCCGCTAGTCTCTTCGCTTCTCTGTCGCGAGTCGATTGCACTGCAGCAAGTGTCGATGGAACTCATCAACAAGCTTGTCAACTCGCCGACCAAGCTCCGCAAGCGGATCGCCATGCGCTCCGAGTTTACCGCGCTGGGGCTCAATGCCATCATGGAATTCCTCCTTGCGTGTGACGTCGAGGCCATCACGCAAGTTATTCTCGCCTTTGAGGACGACCGCGCCGCTGACGAGGAGGAGACTGCGGCAGCATCGCGGGCTCGGGCGGGGTCGTCGACCAACCGAATTGGCTACGGCTCGGATGTCGATGACAACGACGGCCCAACGCCGCAGTATGTCGACCGTGGTGCGGTGTCGCCGGTCAAGGCTCCGCCTAGGAGCGCGGCGTCCAGCTCGAAGCCTCCTGCCCGCAAGCTGCTGGCCCGGGCCAAGTCGTCGAGCTCGGGTTCGAGCTCAGACTCGAACACGTCGGACGGCTCGGGCACGCTCTCATCGAGCTCGTCGTACTATTCATCGTACTACTCGGGCTCGACGTCGCAGGGCGAGTTTATGTCGTTCTCGACCTCGATGTCAGAGGGTTCCGCCTCGGGCGGGCAGGCCGACACGTTTTGGATGCGTCGAGCAAGCCTGTCAACATCACGGTTGACGCTGCTGATACATCTGGAGGTGACGATGATGCTGGCGAACTCGCAGCTCCACCTGAGAGCAAGGCATCCGCTAGTGGCGCGGAGAGCAACAAGGCTCCTTTGCCGTTCCGTCGGCCGCGGACGTCGTCGTCGACGATGGCCGGGTCGTCAGCGTCGTTACGGCGGCGGCGGCCGCTGCCGCCACTGCCCAAGCGGACAATGGCGCTCTCGTCAGGTACCATTGATCGCAAGCGGGCGGGCTCGACGCTGCGGCAACGGACACTCTCGCGGGCCAAGGCGTCGGCGAACAACCGGCGATCGATGGCCAGCGTCGACAACGACCCGTCGCTAGCCGAGGTCCTCATTGCCATCGAGTCTGCGACCGGGACCGAGGTGCCTGTGCCGGACGTGTCTGGAGCGCCCGGCGAGCCGAGCGCAACCGATGTACTTCGGGCACGGACGGGGACGACCGGCTCGGGACGGGCGTTGCCAAGTGCGGCGCGCGGTGACGGAACCGAGCCGCTTGTCACCGTCGAAGTCGCCATCCACCACCGACTCTTGCGGATGTCTGCCTTTATTGGCGAGGCAACGGTGGTCCAGATTTCTGCCGACTCTGCGACGACGGGGCTAGACCTTGTGGCGGCTCTGCTTGAGCTCAACCCGCTGTTTGATACCTCGTTCTCTGCCCGTGACTACGGGCTTGTTCTTGCGTCATGGGACCACTTTCAGCGGTTTGATCACAACCCCGCAGAGTATCCACTCATTTCGCTGGATGCACCCATCCTAGAGTTGATGACTGAGCGGCGCACAAGCCTGGCCGCCGCAAGCGAGAACAGGCGGTGGCGGCGGCGGCGGCGGCGGGCCAGGCGACGGGCGAAGAAGAAGGCCAAACAGTATGGCGAGTCCAACTTTCTGGAGGTCGACGCATCCGACTCGCGGTCCGTCTCGCTCTCCGAGGTCGAAGGCGAGGAGGAGTCCTTGATGGTCCACCTCAAGCTCGCGCCATGGGAGTTTTCGGTCAAGTGCTCGGAGATTCCGCAACTGGTGGGCGACTACCTGGTGGATCCATCCGAGTTTTGCGGCGACATCACGCGGTACATCTTGCGGTCCTCGCAGTACGTGTTGGAGCCACTGGGCAAGAGCCCAACCGACTTGGAGGACCGGTACTCGCTTCACTTTGTTCCGCATGCCGACAAGGACGGAAGCTCAGACGTGGAGATCCTCCTCAAGGACGAAAATGTGCTCAAGGACTATCCGCAGCTGATGACACTGGCGCAGTACGGTGAGCTTACGCTCCGGGCGCAGCCCATCAAGCTGCGGCTGGAGGTCGGCGGCGCTGGAGCGACCGAGGTCAACGTTGAGGTCGAGGCCGACGCCACGTTTGGCGACGTGGTGACCAAGGTTGGGCACATGTTTGGACTGGCTGCTGCCGACGAGTACGGTGTGTTTGTAGTGATAGATGGCTTTGAGTCGGGCCCCGACGAGCTCGAGACCGAGGGCATGTGGATGGAGACCGCGGCCAAGGTCCGCGAGTTTCGGTCTGTGCTCCAGTCGAGCCGAGTCCAGTTCAAAAAGGCGCCGCAGCGGCTGCTGGTCTCCCACGGGAGCGACGAGCGCGAACTCGTTGTCTCGCTCAACGTCTCGCTCTCGATCCTGCTCCCGGTCCTTTGCGCCAAGATGGGGCTGGATCCGGAGGGCTTCTTTGTGCTCCGCAAGGGTGTCTCGACGCCTGTCCCACTCTCGGGCGAAATCACGCTTGCCGAGGCCGGAGTGAGTGTAGGCTCTGCGATTGCGCTCAAGAAGCGCGACGACGGCACGATTCCGCTGGCGCGACAGGTGTACACCTCGATCTGGGATGATTCGGCGCCTGGGAACGGCGAGGCCGAGGTTGTGCGCGACGGAGCACTGGTGGCAGCGCGGCTCAACGCGCTGGTTGAGCGTCTGACTAACATCGAGAAGCTGGACCTGCTTTTCATGGAGATCTTCCTGTTCACCCACTCACAGTTTGTGAGCTCGACCGAGGTGGTGGGCAAACTCGGCGAGCGGTATGCTGTTCCGCAGGATCCGTCGCTCGGCGAGGCCGAGTTTCGAGCCAACATCCAGGTTCCACTCCAGCTTGTGGTCATCTCTGTCATCAAGGAGTGGCTGGGCTCGCACTGGGACGCTGGCGATGGCGAGGCTGGAGCGGCGCTGCGAGAGTTTATCGCCCGCATTGCTGACGACGGCTACGCCAAGCAGGCGGCGGCAATCGAGGCGCTACTGGTGACGGCGGAGGAAGGTCTAGTGCGACCGCCGGTGCTCCGGCTGACGGTGGCGGATGCGTCAGGCGAGCATTTGTTTGGACGCGAAGTGGATACTTTGCGGTGGCGGGCAGAAGCTGCGCCGTACTCGCGAGTTCCATCGCTCCTTGTCTTTGCGTCGGACCTCCAGCTGCTGGATCTTGACGAGGTGGAAATGGCACGGCAGATCACGCTGCGCGACTTTACGGTGTACTCGATGATCGAGCCGGCCGAGTTTCTGGGGCTCAAGTGGACCAAGGCAAAACACGCGGCCAAAGCGCGGAATCTGCTCAACTTTATCGAGCGGTTCAACATTGTGTCCAACTGGGTGACGGCTGAGATTGTGTCTGAGCCGTCGCTGCGGCTGCGATCCAAGGTGATGACGTACATGATCAAGCTCGGGAGTGCGTTTGCAGAGATGGGCAACTACTCGGGGGTGATGGCAGTTATTGTCGGGCTCAACAATGCGGCGGTCTCGCGACTCAAGTTTACCAAGGTCAAGGTGCCGCGGCGGTTCAAGAAGCAGCTCGCGGGTCTCGAGTCGCTGATGGACATGTCGGGCTCGTTCAAGACGTACCGAGCCAAGCTTGCGGCGGCGGCGCAGGCGGTGCCGTACGTGGGCGTTTTTCTCACGGATCTCGTGTTTGTGGAGGATGGCAACCCGGACTACGTCGAGGGCGAGGGCGGGGTGTCGATGGTCAACGTGGAAAAGGTGGTCATGGTCCATCGCATCGTCTCGCAGATTGTGCACTTTCGCGAGCGGCCGTACAACTTTCACATTGTTGAGGCCGTGCAGGCGTACTTGGACCGCGGCGAGGGCCTGGTCGATGAGTCTGAGCTGTTTCGGCGGTCGCTTGCGGTTGAGCCGCGGGGTAAGGAGCGCGACGAGCTGGTGCCGTGAGAGAATGTGGAGAGAACAAGCCGTTCGCGAGCTCGGCTTCGTCGTTGACCTGGAGCGACGGGTTGCAGCAGGAAGAAGTGACAGCGACTGGCGATCGCGACTACTTGCGGTAGATCTGGCGCTTGTAGCGAAAGTTGAGCTTAAAGACGCCGCGCTCAAAGGTGCAGCGGTAGCCGGCGCGCGGGCGACGGTCCCACGACTTGTCGAGGGTCGAGAAGGCGAGGTCGAGGTAGGGCGGGCCCGGTGAGATGAGAAGAGTGGCGGTCTCGTCACCGTTCGGAATGACCTTGAACGTCGGGGTGGCGGTCTTGTCAAGCAGGTCTGGGAGGAGGACGGCGAGCTTGAGGCCCTGGACCTGCCGCGGCGGCGGGTTGTCCTTGTCAAAGTGGGCGCGGGCCCACGAGGTCCAGCGGTAGCCGGAGATGACACGGGCAAAGTACAGCGGCTTGCGCGGCTTTGTCTTGTCGTCCCACATGGCGGAACGTTCGCCGAGAACAGCGCGGGCGTCGTTGATCATCTCCTCGCGCATGCCGTCGAGCTCGTCCTCGAGCTCGGCGCCGAGTGCCGACGCCACCGATTCGGCGTCGTCGACTGCTTGGACCGCGAGGGCGAACGGGTGAGCGGACATGGGGTGAAGGATGTGGTTGGTGTGGCGGATGAGGGCGATAGTGAGTGGGGAGTCGCCGACGGTGTCGATGCCGACGTGGGCGAGGAAAGCAGCCTGGCGCATACCGTCGATGTCTGCGTGTGTCGGCGGCGTGCCGCGGGGCGGGACGGTGCCGAGGAGCGCAGCGAGGTGCTTGCCCTGGCGGACGAGGGCAGCAGCGTGCATGGACCGGAGTGAGGCATGGGCCTTGGAAACTTCAAGAGCGTCCAGGACCGAGGAGAAGAACTCGGTGTCGATGACGGCGGCCGCGGCCGGGTCGTCGAGCTGAGCACGGACCTGGGCCTCGAGCTCGAGCAGCTCGGCATGGCTCTTGCCGGCGAGAAGGGCGGCAACGTCGGCAGAGACCGAAGCGTGGACGGCTTCGCAGTCGGCGAGCGAGAGGGTGAGCGGGTCGCGTGACGGCGGGTGCGGGGCGCCGGCAGACGGCGGGGCCATGGCGGTGTCCGAGTCGGCGAGCGAGGCAAAGATGTGGCGCTCAAAGATAGAGATCATATGGGCGCCGAGTTGAATGATGAGGTGCCAGAGCTCGCGCTCCGGGTCAGCGTCGCGGTTGGCGCGGGCATCCGCGACAAGGCCCTCCAGCCTCGTGAGCGAGAGGCCCTGCAGGTATGCGACCGGGTCGGGGATGTGGTAAATGCAGAGCGGGAGGGTTGCGAGCTTAGCGCGGAGGGTGTCTTTGGCCTCCTGCACAGCAGCATCAGACTCGGCGTCGTCGTCACCGGTGGTGAGAGCGAGCTCGGCGGCGGCGGCCTTGGCAGCCTTGGAGACAGAAGCCTCGGTGGCGGCAGCGCGCTCAAAGACCTTGTCGGCTGCATGGAGGTCGAGGAGAAGGGCCATCATGTCGATGGCACGGGTGCGGCCCTCGCGGATGCGGATGGACGAGCGCTGGAGGACGGTCTCGCGCGAGAACTTTTCTTCCTGGGCGGCAAAGCCGCCGTGAGCCTCGGCCTCCTGCTCGACCAGCCGGGCGAGCTTCTCATCCTCCATGGCAGCGAGCTCGGCCTCACGCTCAGCGCGCCGGCGCTTGATCGCCTCCAGCTCTTCCTGCACCTGCTGGGCGCGGCGCTCGAGATCGTCGTCGTCATGGCCACGGTGCTCGTTGCGAGGCTGCGGCGCTGCAGGGCGCGATGCATGCGACGAGGAATGTGAGGTGTGGAACGGATCCGACGCCGGAGGAGCACCCGTCGACCGCTTCCTGGCAGCCGCCCGCTCTTTGGACTTCCATACAAACTTCTTTGTCAGCTGCGGGTCGTGGAACGGGTTGTCGTTGTTGGTGTAGCCGGCGATGGACAGCGATGGGTCGTGCTCGGGCTGAGCCACAGGAGCGACATGGCCTTCAGACTCGAGGCCACGGGCCCGCTTTCCACGGTCATCATCCCCCAATGACCTGCTGCCAACACCATCATCTCCATCACCCGACCGGGGTGACCGATCTCTCCGCCGCCGCTTCCTGTGGCGAGAGGAGGAGGAGGAGGAGCGGTGGTGGCGGCGGCGGCGGGAGGAGGAGGAGGAGGAGCGGCGGTGGTGGTGGCGGTGACGGGAGGGCATGTTGAGGGGTGTGTGGTGGTGGTGGTGGTGGTGGTGATGGTGGTGGTGGTGGTGGTGGTGGTGGTGGTGTGTGTGTGGTGTGTGGTGGGTGAGGTGTGTGGGGGAGCAGGGCGACTCGGTCGGAGTTTGGTGGCTGGCTGGGTGAACTGAGGGGGAGGGGGGGGGGGGGGGTGCGATGGCGCCAGGGCGTATGGAGGACGAATTGTCAACACCGCTGGATGAGTGATGCGTAGTGTGGTGTTGTTTAGGTTTAGGGGGAAGATGATGATAATGATGATTATGATGATGATGATCGTCTTGTTGCGGGTAACTCGGCGATGAAGAGGATCGGTCGAGGCACCACTCAACTGCGCCACAGGAAGCAGTTGCTGGTTGTGCTGGGAGTGCGGTTGGACTGGCGATGGCCGAGGCGGATCAAGGGCCGGGGTTGAGGCTCGGTGCACAGGGCCGCATGCTTGTCCGGGAGTACCTGGAGGAGATGCAGCAGAGAATGGCCCAGGACACGACGGGGATCACAGGTGTGGAAGGCGTGGAAGGTGTGGAAAAGCGGATGGCGTCGATGCGAGCGTATGCGGAGAATGCAAAGGTGCTGGAGGAGTTTCTGGTGGACGGCGACGACGGCGACGACGGCGACGACGGCGACGAGTATAGTGGCGGCGATGATGGTGGGGCTTGCAGTGCGGGGTGGACATCCCGGTACGACGAGCCGGTGCAAGTCATCCGGCACCTGTGGCGAGATTGGTCCGACGACGGCGGCGGAGTGAGAACGGTGGTTTACGGCCTTGCCGCTGATCTGCTGTCATCAGCTTCACGTACCGCTGCGTCGCTCCGGGTGCTGGTTCCCGGTTGCGGTGCTTGTCGTCTCGTCCACGATCTGGCGCAACAGCTGCCGTGTGGCTCGGTTGTGGAAGGCATCGATACTTCGGCCCCACTGCTGGCGGTGTATGAGCAGTTGCGAAGAGCAGAAGAGGAGCGAGCGCTGGTTCTGTATCCCCAGCCGGAGTCCGCACCGCGGCTGGGCGTTCGTGTTGCGCTCCCGCTCCCGCGATTGCCTCATCACAATTCTGCGGTCACCACACACGCTAGCTTTGAGCCGGCATGGTGGGACGAGCCCGAACGAGCCGGAGCCTACGATGCTGTGGTGACGGCGTATGTACTCGACGTTCTAGCTGTCGGACCGCTGGCCGCCGCGGCCGGGATCAGCACTTTGCTGAAGCCTGGAACCGGGGTCTGGATTAATGTGGGCCGCTCGAGTACCACGACGCGCCGCGGAACAACGGCGCGGCGACGCTCGTGTCATGGGACGAGCTTGTGGCATCGGTGGGCGAAGCGACAGTCGGGAGATTGACGGTTGAGGACAGCGGCACGTTGAACAATGTGCCGTATCTGCCTCGGGGCAGGTCGCAAGAAGTCGGATGGCTGGTGGCAGCGGCGCAGAGCAACTACTCGAGCTCGTTGAGCGAGCCATAGCCAAAAAGGGGCGCGGGGCGACGCGGGCGGCACGCGCCATGGCGTGGCGGACAAATGAGACGACGGTGGCGGTGGTGGCGACGAGAACGAGCCAGCGCAGGAGCGACGTGGTGGCAGCGAGAGCGACAAAGACGCCGTTGCGCTCGGCGCGGTGGTCTCGGTCTGTTGACGACCGGAGATGGTCTAGCGCATAGCGGACAGCCTCGATGACCACTGCCAGACAAGCGAGGGCGGTGTAGACCGCGATGCGACGGGAGGTCGTCCTCAACAAGTTCATGTCCTTGGAGACGACACCGGCGAACGAGGGCAGTGAAATGACGCGCGGGACGGCATGAACAAGCCACATGACACCTGCGACCGAGATGAGAGCATCGGCTGCTAGGCTGTAGGGGGCGAGGGCCGTGATGTCGCGGGCATCACCGGCCCAGGCATGGGCGGCGAGGACGAGAGCAGCGAGGGCGAGGGCGGCGAGGAGAAGAGCGACAAGCGATCGGGCAGCATTTGCGGCTCGCGCGCCGGATGCAGTCGCCTCTGCGTACAGCGCGAGCCAGACAGGCATGAGGAGAAGAGCAGCAGCAGCGCGGGTGAGCGGCACGGCGACGGCGAGCAGGACCATGAACCAGGCGTCCGGGGCGAGGACAGCAGCATCAGCCACAGGCAGGATACTGGCAAGCGCAGCGGCACAGGCCGAGAGGGCCAACAGAGCGCCTGATCCTCCCACAGCCCAGCGCCACATGCGGCCAGCAGGCAAAGCAGCCGGCGGTGTGGTAGCTGCCGCCGCCGCCGCAGCAAGAGCGACAAGCCATGTGGCGGTGAAGAGCGCGGAGAGGGTCCACAAGATGGGCGCACACGGGTCCTCGCCACAGCTCGGGCGGGTGGCCCCGCAGTATTGGCACAGCGGCGGGAGGAGGTCCGCCATGCCCGGTGTGGTATGTGTGTGGTGGTTGGAAGGGTGGGTGTGTGGGTGTGGGTAGGGTGTGTGGGTGGGGGAGGTGAGTTGAGTGCGGTGGAGCAAGAAGTGGCGCGTGACTTGTTGAGTGTCGACGGGCGAAAGGGAGCAAAGCCAGCGAACAGCCAGGACATCTTGATGGTGTGTGTTAGGGGGGGGAGGGGGTTTGATCAGGATCAGCACTTTGCTGAGGCCTGGAACCGGGGTCTGGATCAATGTGGGGGCGCTCGAGTTACCACGACGCGTCGCGGAACAACGGCGCGCCTGTTAGTCATGATGGCGCGGATGGTCGGTAGACGATGGCGGGAAGATGCCGGCAAGGTACGAGTCCATGCCAACCATGGCGCGGTAGATGCGAAAGTTGATCTCCGAGTAGTCGAGCACGCCCTCCATGTACTTGTACAACTGGTTCGAAGTCCACACGATGTTGCCGGTGTGGTCCCAGCCGATGGTGTCGGGCCAGACCGAGGCCTTGGCGTCTGCCCAGAGCTTGGTGATGGGCGCGCCGGGCGAGACGGCGGAAAAGATGCCTGAGCCCTCGAGCGACGTGAGGAAGAGGGCGCTGACGTTGGAGAAACCAAGGCCGTCCGAGGCAAAGCCGCGATCGCCGAGCGGGACAACGGCGGCGTCGACAGCGGCGGGCGGGGCGGTTCCGTTGGCGACGGCGCGGAGGACTGAGGCCGGGAGCATGGCGTAGTGATGAGATGTGAGCGGGCAGAAGACAACAGTTTCGAGATCGTGAGTGAGCGCAATGCCATCGGCTCCGGTCCGCATGCGCGTGGTGGCGAGGACCTTGTCGCCGTTGATGGTGATCCACAGCGGCGAGTCCTGGACCGACGGAGCGCCCGAGAGCACCCGTGTTGCCTTGACGGAAGCAATGTCAACGACCAACAGGCCGCCAAGTACTTGCTGCTGCGGATCAATGGGAATGCCTGAGTCAGAGATGTAGATGTAGCCGTGGGCGCGGTCGACAACAAGGTCGTTGAGGAAAGAGCGAGAGGGTGAGGCGAGTTCAGGGCCAAAGACAAGGAAGAACACAACTTTGCCCGTGGCGACGTCATAGCCGACGAGCTTGATGCCACCGGCGGGCGAGCGGCGTTGGCTACCTTGCCCTGATCAAGGGCCCAGAGCGTGTTGGTGGCGTCGATCTCAAAGCCAAGGACCGAACGCAAGCCGCGCGGGTTGTCCAGCGAGTTGCCTTCCCACGATGGAAATGGAGTGAGGAGCGGCGGGGCGACCGAAGTATCGAGTCGGGCGAGGGTAGCTGGGACGTGTGGCTTCCATCGCGGCACCGAGACAAAGTACGATCCGTCCATGGAGACCTTGACTCCCGCGAGCATGCACGCCGCAGGGTCGTAAGCCACTCCGGCCGGCATGTTGGAGTAGTTGAGCGCCTTCCAGGCAAAGACCACCTCACCCACGGCCTCGGGACCACCAGCACCGACCACAGGCACCTGCCTACCCAAGGCCAATCCCTCGACCAATATCGCTGCTGCCACTGTGGCTACAAGCACCATAGCCAGGCGCACCAATCGAGTGTACATGGCCGAAAAAAGTGAAGTGAGAGACGGTCAGCGTCGCTGTGCGGTTGCTGGGTCGCGGCCGGCGGGCTTGCCTCAACCTGCGGTACTGACAACGTCGGCGTCGACTGCGACAACAGCAATCCACGATGGCAACTATTGACAACAGCAGGGGAACGAGGATCAAGGGGTTTAGTACGTGCTGGCGACAGGCGGGCGCGAGACGGTGTCCTTGAGCTCCATGACACGGAGTGCGTTGTCGCCCGAGCCGATGCCAACATACTGGTCGTTAGGGGAAAATGCGATGCTGAAGACACCCTTCTCCATCGAGTCAACGTGGCCGATGACCTGGTGGGTATCTGTGACAAAGACCTTGGCTTCGTTGGCGCCCGAGCCGCCTGCGGCAACAAAGCGACCGTCTGCCGAGAACTGGGCGGCGTAGATGAAGCACGGAGGCGCCTCGTCGTCTGCGGACCAGGGTAGGGTGTCGAGCAGCTCGCCCGAGCCGTAGTCCCACAGCTGGAGCTGATCCTCCTCGCGCCACGAGCCAGTCAAGATCTTGTCGCCAGCAAGGTCGATGGCATCGCCGCAGACGTGCGGGCCGTAGATGGATCGGACGACCGAGCCGACGCGGGCATCCCAGATCTGGACGGTGTTGTCCCAGCCGCCGGAGAGCACGATGTCAGGATCGTCGGCCTTGAACTTGAGCGAGAAGACCCTGTTCGAGTGGCCGTCGCCGGCGCCCTCCATCTTGGACTTGATCTCCTTTGTGGCCTCGTCGTAGAGGCGGATGGTGTGGTCTCTGCCTGCGGTGGCAAACGCCGATGCGTCCGGGGCGTAGTCGAGGGCGTACACCTCGTTGCCCTCCTCGACGATGGTGTGAAGACACTTTTGGGTGGAGAGGTGCCAATGGCGGACCGACCCGTCGGACGATGCGGCAATGACCATGTTGCGGGCCCGCGACGAGCCGCCTAGGTTGGGCCGGAAGCGGAGGCAGGTGACTGGGAACGTGCCGTGAGCCTTGTCCGCGTTGAGATTAAAGGCGAGCCGACCAGTGAGGGTGTACACTCGGGTCACACCATCGCCACATCCTGCGGCCACCAGCTGGTTGTCCTCGGAGAACCGGACACAGAACAGGTCTGCCGGCTGCTCCTCCACCGCCAGCTTGAGCGAGAGCTTCTTGGACGGCCGGCCGATAGCTGCCATGGCGAGCGGACGGAGGGGGAGGTGGGAGGGGTAGGGGTAGGGGTAGGGGTAGGGGTAGGGGTAGGGGTAGGGGTAGGGGTAGGGGTAGGGGTAGGGGTAGGGGTAGGGGTAGGGGTAGAGGAGGGTGTGTGGTGGTGGTGGTGGTGGTGGTGGTGGTGGCTGTAGTTGCGTGTATGGGTCTGCGTTGCCTGTGGCTGCTGCCCACATGGCAAATCAGCAAAGCTCGGCAGAAACGGGTTGGATGCCACGGAGACCCGCCTCCCCCGCCCTCCCCTCCCCCCCCCCTCCCCCCCCTGCCCACACCGCCACCGCCCGCACCCGCGCTGATACGTTAGGCTTGATACCAGCCCCAGTAGTACGTGTGCAACATGGTGCGCTCTTAGACAGTCTCGATCCTGTCCATCATGGTACTTTCGAGGGGCTCAGGCGCTGCACGGCCGAAGGAAGGGGGGGGGGTTCCGGGGGAGAGTGGCCTGCTTCGCGAAGCTGCGCGATGGACACAGTTGAGACCGCACCTTGGGCAAAGTCAGCTCGCCACACGTCTGACACTGCGATTCCACCATGTCGGCCGGAGCGCAAGTGGTGCAGTTGGCGTGTCTGGCGCAGTGCTTGTTCTGCGGGTCGTACTTTCTGCCGGTGGTGGCCTCGTACGCCCCGGCTGCCTTCCGCGGCAAGGGCAAGCGCAAGGCCGAGGAGGCACACGTTGCGGAGATCCACACCAACCGATGCGCCCGGAGCATGTACGACGAGATCCAGTGTCCGATGTGTGCATCAATGGCAAGTCATGGTATGTCCTATCTCGAGTGGCTCGACTCGCGCGAGCCGTCGACCGATGTCATTGTCCGCTTCCCGCGCTTTGGCCACCCGCCGCCGGGCATGGATGCTGCCGACACGCTGCCGCTGTACGCAAACAAGGCCCGTTGTAATGTCAAGCCCAAGTTCAAGCTTGTCGAGGGCATCGGGCCGGAAGCGATTGAGCTCGATCGCTCGCGATCCAACACAGTCTTCGCAAAGTCGACGCTCGCCGGCTGCGGCGTCGACATCGGGCCCGATGCCTTTTACCAACTCGAGCCCGGCACCCACTTTTACACACGACCGATCATCGAGAGAATCATGGCTGCAGTGAGAGTCGGAATGGACGAGGTTGCCGAGGCCGGCGGCGACGTCGCTGGCTACTTTGACCACGCCGCCGCAGCGCTCTTTCAATACGCCCCCATCTTTGGCCAATGGGACGAGGTCTCGCCCATTCTCGACGATCTTGTGGCGCCCTGAGCTTGCGAGCGAGTGAGGGTGAGGTGGAGTCACGCGTTTACGCGCTTACTTGCCCTTGAGGAAGGCGGCGAGGCGAGCTTGGGCCTCGGGCGAGACGCGCTGGGCGGCGATTGCGCGCGAGGTCTCCTCGATGAGCGGAGTGTCGATGGGCTGACCGCGGATGGTGTGGAGGAGCTGCTTGGCGGCCGCCATAGCCTGCGAGCCGTTGCCGAGCAAGTGATCGATAAAGGCATCGGCTGCGTGGTTCATGGCCTCGTCCGACTCGTAGACCTCATGAAGCAGGCCAAGCTCATGGGCCTTCTTGCCCTTGAACACCTCTGCCGAGATAAAGTAGCGGCCTGCAGCCCGCTCGCCGAGCGCGGCCACACAGTACGGTGAGATGACGGCCGGGATGAGGCCGAGCTTGACCTCTGAGAAACAGAATGAGGCGCGCTCGGTGCCAAAGGCGACGTCACAGGCGGCAACAAGTCCGACGCCGCCGCCAAAGGTGGCACCGTGGACGAGAGCGAGCGTCGGCTTGGGCAGGAACCGGAGCGAGCGCATCATGTCCGCCAGCTCCAGCGCGTCCTTGTAGTTGGCAGCCTCGTCGTTGGCGCCCATGGCCTTCATGTACTCGAGGTCGGCGCCAGCCGAGAACGACTTGCCGGCGCCGCGGAGGACGACCACCCGGGTCTCCTCGCACTGGGCGAGGCGGTTGAACTCGGCACGGAGCGCACCCGAGAGTTCGGCATCAAACGCATTGTGAACCGCAGGCTTGTTGAGTGTCACCGTCGTCACTCCGCGCGTGTCGGTCTCGGACACCACGCCCGAGTAGCCGCGGGCTGCCGTTGTTGCCGCAGCAGAGCCGACCGCCGGCAAGCGGGCGAGGACCGTAGAGAGGCTGGCACGAAGCATGAGAGGGATTGTAGGAGGGGGTGGTGAAGGGGGAGCAGCCGAGCGCGATGGAAAATGAGTGTGGTGGGTGAGGGTGGGAGGGGAGGGGAGGGGAGGGCGGGGGGGGGGGGGGGGGGAGTGTGGCCCAAGGCCGCATGACGTGTTGGAAACTTGCAGTACCAGGCCACGCTTGTGCACAACGAGCAAGAAGTTCACTTGCTGCTCATACACCCAAAAATATCACCGCTCATCGTTGGAGGAAGCTCCTCTAGTCGACGTGTTGGATCTACCACAGTCGGTCTCCGAGTGCGAGCGACGGGGCTGGCGCCGCGTCTTGGTCGGTCGTCTTGGCTGGGCGGGCGGCATGTCGGGCCTTGGCGGTTCGCTGCCATCGACCGTGCCCAATACCTGGCGGCAGAGGGTCGACGACGAGTGGGGACAGACCGAGCTCACCGAGTCACGCAACGGGGTTGACGACGACGACGACGAGGACGACGCTGAAATCAGTGACGACGACGATGAGCTGACCTCACTAGGCCGCTGATGGATTGTTGGCGGCGAGGACATACCGCGCAACTTGCCAGACCTGCAGTGGTCAACGCCAGCGGCGGCGACAGCCACCGTGGAGACGGCGTTCGACGATGAGTCGTCAAGCCTCTCCGACGAGTCGGAGGTGATGAGACCAGCAGATCCTGAAGCGGGTACGGTAAGAGCGGCTTCGTGCAGGACGTTCGAGGCGCTAAGGGCGGCATCGGCAGCGGCACGGCTGTCGGCAAAGACAGCAAGATCGGCGAGCGGAACAGGCGCATCGGCGGCGGTGGCCTGCAGCAACGCCACCGCGGCGGATCGAGTCGGCTCATCGGCGGCAGCAGCCCGCCTCGCGTAGGTGAATAGGTCGTTGAGCGAACCAAACTGGATTGACGAAGTGGAGCAGGGGCCAAGGCTCGAGTGTAACGGGACCTCGGGGACTGGCGCGAGGTGGATGCCGGGGCCTGAATCAAGCAGCATGCTGCCACCTCCGGCGGCAGCGCTTGGAGAGCCCGAGTACGAGGCAAACGAGCCGCTGCCGCCGTCTGGCGGCTGCTGACTCGGAATTACACGAGCCGACTGCGATGCAATCAAGGCGGGGTTGGTCTGGACAGCTGCTTGCGACAACGGCCCAGACACGCCCAAGTTGGGTAGGCCGAGAGACGAGTCGAACATGGCCGACGCCGAAAACGAGATTGCCACATGCTTGGCGCCACCGTCAGAAAGCTCGGCACCAGCGTTGATGCCTCCAGCACTCGCGGTGGCCTCGCCAACCGACCGGTCGGGGAGATGAGAGACGCCGTGCGGATTGAGAGTAGTGTCACGGATGCTGGGCCGGCTGCGGAGGACAACAGCAAGGCGTAGCGCGACGAGGACGCCTACAACCAAAAAGACGAGGACGATGACCGAGACAAATAGCGCATACAGAGTGTCGGCCTCGACGGCAGACGCCGCCAGGGCAAATATGGCGCCGACCGTCTGGGCGCCGAGCGAGAACAGGACCATGGCGTTGGTCCGGGTCGTCCGCCACGGGGTCAACAAGGTCTGGACGAGGAGCATACCGAGCGAGACAAGGCAGAGTACAAACGAGCGGGTAACGGCCAGGTCCGCATGCCGCAGCGAGACCGAAATGATAACAAGGACCAGCTTTTGCGCCAGCCACACAACTAGCCAGAGCCGGAACGGCGTTTCAAAGTCTCGCGAAAAAAAGACGCCAAACGCGTTGCGGAGGCTCAGCCCGAGCGTGGCTTCGGACGGTGGCCGCCGGAGCCAGGCGTACGCTGATGAAGGCGTCTTGTCCAAGATGGTTGTCTGGTAGATGAGCCACAACATGAGGACCGGCCAACCGATGCCGACAAAAAGAGCCAATATGCCCGCCACAGTGGCGTACCGCCACCACAAGTCGGTGAAGCACTCGACCGAGACGTTGCTGTTGAGGAGCCAGACCGAGCCGACCTCGCGGCACGAAAAGTGCGACAGCCCGCCGTCGACCAGCGGAATGTAGAGGAGTAGCAGCATGTTGGCGCAGCCAAACACAAAGTAACGCCAGTGGACAAAGCTCGCCAGCCACCGCCACGAGGTGACGCGCTGGAGGCCGCGTGCCACACCATAGAGAAGCGGGGCGAGCAGGACTGGCATCGACATGAAGATCACTCGCGCCACAAACGTTCGGTAGTAGTCCCCGACGCCAATGCACGCTGCGAGCCGCGGGTACGAGAGGAGCGAGAAAAACCGCGAGTTGTCAAAGGCCTGTGTGTCGAGCATCATGATGTGCATGACCTGGAAGGTGTGGACGCAGACAACAAGTGCCGGCGAGCGCGAGCCACGGAGCGCGGTGGAGAATACTGCAAAGGCAACACAGCTGAGCGCAGCCACACTTGCTGAGACCACGGGGGAGAAAAGGCACTTGGTGCACAAGTTGCCAAAGTGACTAAAGGTGTCGATGCAAGTGCCGCACAGCCTCGATGACGGAACACGATCGTCTGCACAACTGTCACCGCCGGCGCACGCGCCCGGGAAGCACCGAAACATCGAGACAGAGGAAGGTGACGCCCGCCACCAGCCTGGAATCGGTGTAACAAGCGTGTTGCCACCCAGGCACTGCGCATGCGCAGGACATGGCTTGCACTCACCGCCGTCGAGATTGTAACTCCCCGACGGGCACGCCTGGCACTCAGAGCTGCCAACATGGTGGAAGCCTGGCAAGCATGAGGTGAGGTTGACGTCAAAGAAAAACGCGGTCCGAGTCTCGAGCTCGGGTGCAACGGCCACGAGCTCGGCGACAGAGCCTACCCGACCTTCGATGGTGACGTCGCTAAAGTGCGCCACACCCGAGGTAGCGGCGGCAATGTTGTTAGCGAGGAAGACCGACGACGATCGCGAGAGCGCACCCGTGCCTGACATGGATTCCCTCGGGATGATGACCAGCGAGGTCTCGTCGTCGTGGGCGACAGTCCGGCCCAGCAAATCGACGATGCGGAAGGTCGGCCGCGGGTGGAGGTATGATGACGGCGTCGCGGTGTCCGGGAGCACACCGACAGGCTCGATGCCGTACGGCTCGCAGAAGACCGGCTCGTTGCCGAGCTGAAGTGTGTTGCCCGAAATGTGGACGCTTCCCGGCGGGAGTGCGTGGATGGCGCCGCCGAAAGCCGCACCGTTCGTCTCGATCCGCGACGTCGTGACGGTGATGTGCGACGAGGCGTCGCCATACATGCCACCGCCGCGGAGCCACGCCGTATTTTGCTTCAGCAGACAAGATGTGAGCGAGATCGTGGACGACGAGAGCGCCACCGCACCGCCAGCCAGCGCGCGGTTGTGCTCCATAGTCACATCGGTGAGCACAATGCGTCGGGTGAGGAGTGCATCGATGGCGCCACCAGAAGTAAGTGCTGCATTGCCAGAGAGCACACAGCGCGAGATATCCAGGTTGGCATCACCGCGGGCGTGGATGGCGCCACCTGTGCAGAGCCCGTGGTCCTTGGTCGCCTTCATCATCTGCACAAGCGCAGCCTTGTAGACTTTGGTCTTGGGCCTCGTTGGCGACGTGCCGTCGTCGGGCAAGTTGGCAAAAGGACGACCGGCGAGAGCTCGGGATCAGAGCGGAGCAGACTCTCGTGCTCGGCAAAGCCGGTTTGGTACGAGACAACGCTGTTCCTCTCGAGTCTAGAATCGGTCAAAACCAGCCGGGTCTTGAGGTCGATGAACAAAGCGCCAGCGGCGGTGACGGACCAGCCCCGCGCGGTGTTGTCAACAAAGACACTCGCTGAGATCGAGACGTCCGAGGATTGTGCGTACAAAGCGCCGCCCCATGATACACCCGGGTACTCGTGCTCCGACGAGGTCATGCGGGCATGGATCGGGTCAGCCAGCGAGTTGGTGACGGTCACGTTGGTAAAGACAACCACGGAATTGTGGAGCGAAAACGAGCCGCCTTGGCGGCAGAACGTGCCGCCGCGGACCGAGTTTGAGGCCAGCTCGACCGACGAGAAACGGGCGCCTTGCGTCGACTTGAGGACGACAGCCCCACCAAACGCAATCGAAGAAGTGTGAGACGTAGCGCTGTTGCTCTCAAAGGTGGACGCGCTCACATCCAGGTGCGAGACCGAGAGGCCGAACAGTGCTCCGCCACCCACAAAGTTTGTGTCGAGGCCGAGAATGGCCATTCCATTCATCTCGGCCTCCTCATCCTCGCTCATTGGGCCTTCCACCCGGTTGTTGACAAACACCACTCGGAGGAGACTTGCGGTCGACGCCGAGTCGTGGGCAGCCTCGTCCGAGACAACCAGCCCGCCACCGGCAAGACGGGCGATGTTGCGCTCAAACCGCGAGTCGAGAACAGCGACGGCCACTTCAAACGGATAGGTGTGAGCCTGGTTGGCGAACATGCCACCGCCGACCGTTGCCAAGTTGCCGATCAGCGTCGCGTCTTCCAGTTGGAGCGTGGTGCAGACCGAGAACAGCCCACCGCCGACGGTGGCAGCAGCGTTGTACGCTACCAACAGTTGTGAGAGCACCACAGGGCGACCCATAAATCCGATTCCGAGTCCTCCGCCGCGCTCAGCTGTGCACCACACAGCAGAGAGCCCGCGGACTGTGCCGACTCGCGAGCCAATGTACGCGCCTCCGCCGAGGTTTCCCGCGGTCGAGTTATAGAGGACAACGTCCGTAAGGTCAGCGACCGTCGCCTTTCCGATGTACAGCGCCCCGCCACGGCTTTCAGCCGAGCCGTCCGAGATGACAAGCCTGTGGAGACCGACATGGACCCACGACGACTGCGGGTCGGACGAAGTCGAGTCGAGGCTGAAGGCAAGCACGCGGGTGACGCCGCCGCCGTCAAGAATGGGGACGCACGAGGCATCAATACCTACTGCGGCCATGACGTCTGTAACGCTCGGCAACGGGATCTCTGCGCCACTTGGCGGGAACTCTAGGTGGCGGGAAGCAAAGGCAGGCGCGCTGCCGTCACCCGGCTCTGCCCACGAGCCGTGAAATTGCCCGCTCGGCGGTACGGCGAGGGCAACCGGTCGGTTCGGCGCCCTGGCGACCAGGGCCTCTGCCAGAGCGGTAAAGACCGAGTCTGGACATAGCGGAGATGGTGGCGGGCCGGTGAGGGTGATGTTGACGGCCAGTTCTATGCCTCTGTTGTCTATGCCGTCATACAGGCCCCCGGCCAGGCGCAGAACGTCACCCGAGACGGCGACAGCCGCGGCCTCGGCCAAACTCCTCCATGGTGCACCCATTGTTCCGTCTCGGCTTGCACCGGAGTAAGCAGGGTCCACGAAAACCTCCTCACCAAAAGCTGTTCTTGCTACAAGCAAGACCACCGCCACCCACGACAGCCAATGTCGCGGCATGGGTAAGGACAGGGTGGAGACGAGAAGTGACGGGGGGGGGGGGGGGGTGACAGGGTGGGACAGGGAGGGGAGGGGAAGGGGGGGGGGGGGGGGGGATGGAGCCGTTTTGGCTGAATTGTTATTGATTTTTTCTCGGCATGGCGCAGGTTAGGGCAGCTGGTCGGTCATTGGACAAAGACAAACTCGGCCGAGAGGGCGGCGAGATCGGCCTCGACGGCGTCCATCTCGGCCTCGAGCGCCTCCTTGCGGGCAACTTGCTGGATGGTATCGGCATGGATGATCTTTTGGTAGCGGGCGTTGAGCGCGTCCCACTTGGCCTGCAGACCTGTGCGAAGCTCGTCGATCTCGGCAGGGTCGAGGAGCGAGACTGAGGCGGCCGGGCGCGGAACGCCTGCATCCTGCATACCGGCGACGTAGCGGTACTCGGCGTCGACCTCGGCCTTGACGGTCTCCAGATACTCGGGCACCCTGCCGTACTCGGGCTTGGTGGAGTAGCGGACTGCACCGGCGTCGCGCGGTGCCGGCGGGACGGCGAGAATAGCCTCAACGGCGTTGGCGGTGACAAAGTTCTTGGTTGTCACCGTCCCGAGCTTGGGTGAGTCCGACGGCGCCGGAACAGGCGGCCGCCGCAGGGGGCCCGTCCGTCCACGGCCGTCTGGGTAGTTGTACGGCGACGGCGGAGCAACAACAGGCTCCTTCTCGTGCGCACGCAGAAAGTTGGTCGGCTTGCGCAGCGGCGTCTTGGCCTCACCAATCGTCGCATGTGATTTGATCCTGGAGTGTCTCACCTGCGGCACGCCCTGCTTGACGCCGATCAGTGTCGAGTCGCCAACTCTGGCCACGCCGACCTTGCGCTTGAAATCTGCCTTGACCGTCTCTGTAGTGCACCGCCCACACAACCCCCATGGCAACCAACACCTCGGTACTACGTGTGAGCATGTGCGTGCGGTGTGTGCATGTGTAGGTATCCTGGTGCTGTCCGTAGCCAGCCGCGAAGTGTAGACCCCAGCAGTCCAAGGGGCAGCCCAGCCCGCCAGCCGTTGCCTCAATCGCCTCCGTCGCCTCCCCTCCCCCCCCCCCTTCCCCTTCCCCCCTATATCTTTCACTTACTGCTGTGGCGGGAGACATAGCGCGGAGCCGCTGGAGGCTGGTATGTCTCGGTTGGAATGAGATTATAGACCGACTCGCCTGTACCCGACATGACCAAGTGGAGTCTGCGTCTGCGGTTTCACCGTCCGTTGTCACTCTTGTTCGAAAGCCGGCGGGCGGGAAGCCGGCAACCGGCGGCCGATGGTCGGCTCCGCCTAGTGACGGACCAAGCGTTTGCGCAAAAAGGGCTTTTCGACCTTAATTGGCAACCTCGCATTCCATCACAAGCAGTTTTCTGCCTGGTATTAGCGAACTGTATGCCACGTTCCCTGCTATGACTCCAGCCCCCTATTCCCTCGCTCCTCCTCCCTCCCTTTCCCTTCGTCTCCCATCCTTCCATTTTTGCATCCCCACCAAGAATGTCTCTTCTCCGATCCCGTCGTGTGCAACTCCCATCTGTATTACCAATCAAAGGTGTTGATTGACTGGCTGTCTGTACCGAGAAGTGTTGACCGTATTGGCTTGACCAGACATTGGACCTGTTCCTTGACCCGTCCACCCTTTTCCTGCACGGCCCAAACAGCACACCTGTCCCTTACCACCGACGTCCTCATCTGTATGGGCAATGGCCAACCCATCCCGAGAAGCAAACATTCCAAATGCCTCCTCTATTGCATGGCTTGGTGAGCATGATACCAAGGGCTCCCTCCGTCGGTACGAATCTTGTCCAAAGCCGCACTCGGCTGCGGTCAACCCCCCCCCCACCCCCCCTTCCTCCCCCGTCTCCCCGCCTCACTCCTCCCTCCCACTCGCTATGCCCATAGAACGTATCCATGCACGATCTACCTCCTCGGAACCATGCTGTTTGTCGAGGGCCCCGCCTCATTTCAAATCGACATCATGGAGACCGTTGTGTCCCGCAAAGACGCCGTGCTCGCTTTCACCCGGGCTCAACTCGAAAGTCCCGGCGCCGCAGCACCGGACCACTACATCTTGACCGAGGCTGCCGACGCCGCCGAGTCGTGGTGCTCGGTATTTGCGGCAGCGCGAAAGGCAGCCATGTCACAGTCGCTCGACGGCATGGGCGTTTACTCGCGCAAGTTTGATTCGGAGGTCCTTGCCTCGACGGCGGCCGCCTTTGCGGCGGCGGCCTCGCGGCAAGCTGCCAGCCAACCAGTCCAAAGCCGCCGATCTACTGCACCCGAGCGCCGGCGGCGGCGAACTTATCGGCGGTCTGCCCTCGCTGTCGACGCTCGACCCCGGCGCCACTCGCGCGAACGCTCGCCAGCATTTCCAAACGATGGCTCGCGGCTAGCCCCAGGCGACCACCTTTCTTCGCCGAGCCACAGCCGCAGCGGCAGCAGCAGCGGCAGCGGCAGCGCCGACTGTTTGAGCGCGCGCTACGTCCCCGTCGCGTGGAAGGTCAACGGTACCGAGCCGCGGCCATCCAATGCCTCCTCGGCTGTGGCGAGAGAGGATCCCAAGATGCTGGGGGCGTGGTACCGACTTTACTTTGCGTGTGAGGCGCATGTCAACTGGGTTGGCGAGATCCATCACTCGGACGGCGCTCCGCCTGTCCCCACTGTCATAAGCATCCATCGATCCACCCACAGCCCGAGAGCCATGCTCCGAGCCATTGTGTGGACCCCGTCTGTTGTCATCCCGTTCTGCCTTTCGGCGCCAACCAAGTCGATGGCACACAAGCGCGATCTAGCTGCCGTGCTGGATGAGTACGATCCGTCCGGCGTGGTTGCCAAGCAACGTGCCGATCTCGCCACTGTTTCCGACGCGCGCCTTGTTGCCGCCCTCCTCAACATCGAAGATAGTCTTTACCCGCGGCTCGTCAACGTCACTCTGCACAAGTCCGACTCGATCAACGCCGGCATGGACAACTCCTCGCGCACCACCTTTGACCAGCTTGTTGCCACGCTCTCTGCTGCCAGTCCGTCGCTCACTGTTCGCGTGGGTACGACAGACCTGCGCTGCCGCGTCGAGCCGGATCACGATGAGGCACACGCTGACACTCTGTCGTATGCTTCCAACAATGCGCCTGAGGCCTCTCACCACGTCGCTGTTGTGTTTGCGCCGTCTCTATCCACAGCCATTGACTCTGGCGTCCTTCTGCGCGCATCGGTTGTTGCTGTGGCTGTGCCGCGTCGCAATCGCCTCGTCGCGCACATCCTTGTTCCGGATCATGTCAAACCGTTTGGTCCCGCGCTCGGCCGCGGCCGCATCCACTTTGACGCCTCATCGAGTGGCCTCCACACTCTCTTCACCCACATGCTCAATGGGCTTTGCACGTCGACGTTGTCGGGAGACGAGCGCAGAGAGACCATCGTCGCTCATCGGACCACTACTCTTACTCGTGCCCTCGAGTTTAACCGCTCCACCAAGGGCGCCCGCCTCGCTGACATTGCGCGCATCACGCTGCCGCGGGTCGTCGGCTCGCAACTCAACGCCACAGCCTTGGCACCAGCGCGCGACGGGATGCAGTCCTTTATGCCATACGTAGTCATCTCACGATTTGGCATGCCCGTCACGGCCTGGGCATGGTACGGCTCGCAGCATCTTTATGCCACAACCTCGGGCGTCTTCCTGGCACCCTCACCGCTCGCCGGCCTGGATGCGACTCCCACGTGCATTGCCAAGGGCAGCTGGTCACGTATCGACGTCTTACCAGCCATCCACGTCGCACTTCTGCACTCGAACTCCTCCCGCGTCCCCATCACTGTCGTCTTTCTCAACTCGATCGGCAGCCGGGTAACCAAGCGGCTCACTGCCTCGCGCCACGCTCGCCTAGTCGACATCTTTGATTCGGGTGGACCTGATCCGCGAGTCGCCACCGTCTCCAAAAACGGCACCATCCGTGTCTACTCTTGGCAGTCGTTCCACTTTGAGCTACTCTCAACGCTCGAGCTCTCTTCTCGGGTCACGTCGATGCGCTTTGCCCTCAACGGGCCGTGCATCGGCTCTTTGCTTGTCGCAACCGATGCTGGCGCCATGGTCGTCGAACGCGACTCGGATCTGGCCCTCGCCATCTCTCCACCGATCTCGATGGTCGCCGGCCCTCTTGCCATGCCCACTGCTGTTGTCCAGCTTGATCTCGCCGGGCCGTCGTCGCACCTGGCACTTGCCGCCGGTTTGTTCGTCGGTGTCGTCGACGCGCAATCTCGCCAGCCCGGTCGACTGGCCGCCACCTTCTACTTAACCCGCCGCCCGCACACACTTGCTTCGCTTGGCCACTACATCTTGGGCATCTCCACCTTTGCTATCGAGGTCCGCAATGCTCGCAACGGTGCCTATGTTCAACTCATCAAGCTCCCGCCGCCCATCCGCCTTGCTGCGCTCCGCCCGCACCTTGTGGTAATTGCAGGTACTGGCCGCGACACATCCATCTACCACATCGCCCATGCCACTGCCCAGTCACGAGCCGCGGGCGACACCCGGCTCGCCATCTCCCCGCTCCAGGCACGTTTTCGCTTGCCACCGGCATCGTTGCGAAGCACATCAAGTCTACCACGCTCTCGCGTCCGCATCACCACGCGCTCCAGCTCCCACCGTCGTGCGCGCTCGAGGACAACTACCCCGCACTCGCTCACGGACTCCCAAACAAGCACTCAACTGTCACCAACGCATCTCGTGCCAAAACCCGCGGCAACGTTCACCGGGAGGACGGCACTACCTCCATTGGCTCGCGATCAGCATGCATCATCAAGCACCGAGATTCATCGTCGCTATGTTCCCACGCGCAGGCGCCGTCAGACCACCCACGACGCTTCCAACGTCCTCCCGGCAAGCGACAGGTTGTCGGATCTCGAGACAACTGGTGTTCTCCCTTCGATTGCCTCGGGGGAGACCGAGCCGCTGACTGCCAGCATTCGCGGCTCACTGTCTGATTCGGCCATCCTTGCTGCGGTAGCAGCGCCCTTTGAGCCTGCTAGCTCCATGCCAGAGGTTCAGGACGAGGTGAACATGCAAGGCATGCGTTCGCTTTCAATGTCGAGCTTTGCCTGGAAGAACAATGGCAGCAAGAGCGGCAAGGACGGCGACTCGTCATCCGACTCGTCATCCGACTCGTCGTCCAACTCGTCATCCGACTCGTCATCCGGCTCGTCATCCGACTCGTCGTCGGGCTAGACGTAAAAACACTCACCGGTATTGCTCAGACGCGTAGATAGAGACTATCGAGTCTGTCGAGCCCACGCCAAGGAACAGGCGGTGGGGGTGAAAGGCAAGTGAGGAGACAGCACCGATGCGCTGGCCAAGAAAGCCGTCGTAAAAACAAATCTTGGACAGCTCCTTGCCGGAGGTATTGAAGACCTTGACAAACTGATTCTGCGAGCCTGCGGCCATTAGCGGCGCAGACGGGTGGACCGCCAGCGCAGTCATGCCCTTGTCGTACGCCTTGATTTGTGCTGTTGGGCCGTCGGCCCGCAAGTCCCAAGTTCGAATCGAGCCGCCCGACGAGCCCGAGATGACATGTCGGGGCCCGCGCATGTGGACGTCGAGGACCCACGACGAGTGGGCGGCGATGGCCTTGACCAGCGCTTCGCGCGCCGGCGCACGGAGGTCAAACACAAGCACTCGTCCGTCGCCGGTCGCGCCGACAAGCGTCGACGACCCGTCGGTTGTCAGCGCGGTCACCGAGCTCTCGGTCCCTGTCGGGATATCGAGCACCGCCATCTCGCGCCGCAGGTCCCACACCCGCACGAAAGGCACGTCGCCGCCGCAAAAGAGGTAGCCCGATGATTGTTGCCACGAGGTGATGAGCCCTGCGCCGCGCTTGCCCGGCACCTGCTCCGCAAGCGCCCGCCACGACGTGACCAGGCTCGGCGCCCGCGCTGTTGACCCAACGTTGCGCCAGACTCGGACCACGCCCTCGTCGGTGCCGACGAGCACGAGCGAGCTCTGCTCGGCATTGATGAGGTCGAGCGACGACATGCGCGAGCCGACTACGTTGTCGTTGGTGAACCGACCGACTCGCGTTCCGCTCTCCCAGTTCCACACCGTGATGAGCGACTGCTCGTCCGCCACAATGAGCCGCGACTCGAACGGATCAAACTTGACCAGCAGCGGAATGTGTCCGTCGTTGTCCAGAATCCCCACCTGGTCTTCCAGCTTGCACTTGCCGGCCACCAGCGCCGCGTCCTGCGCCTCGGTTTGCACCCGGTCGTTGCGAATCTCGCGCCAGAGCCGCGACGCCGTCCGCCCCAAGGCCACCACGCCGTCCATACCCACCGCCGTCTGGCCTCCGTTCCCTCCTCCTTCGGCGTGCTCTTCCTTGCTAGCCTCCACAAGTGCGTCCAGTGCTTCGCCGAGCCGCTCGCCGCCACGCCGCTCGCTGGTGCCACTTTGCCACTTGCCCACCATGCCCAGCCGCATCCAGTGGAAAAACTTCGACTCGAGACCGTCCATCTCAAGCACCAGCTCGCCATCGGACGACTCGGAGACGGCCGGCGACGATGGCCGAGACGAGCCCTCGCCCGAGCCTCCGGGGCTGGCGAGCTCGGAGAGAATCTCGTTCGAGCCGAGCTGCGGCGTTCGCCGCAGCTGCCCGCTGCTCCCAACGCCGCCTGCCAGGCCGGAGCTGCGCCTGACTGCCGTCGCCACTCGCGACTTTCCCGACGGCGCCGACAGCCCCGATCCGCGTGGCGACGGCTGGCCGCTGCTGGCCTCGTTCGAGCTCTGACCTCCGGCGCTTGACCCACCCTTGGCCTTGGCCTTGGCCTTGGCCTTGCCTTTGGCCTTGATTTTGGCCTTGCCCTTGGTGCCCGGGGCAAAGTCGCTTAACTCACTCGCCGGCGACTCACCACTCGCAGTTCCGGCGTCCGATGCTGACGGTGTCCGCGCCGCCATGAGCTCCGACGGCAGCGTGGGTGGCTTGATCAGCGCCATAAGCCCGTCGACGTGCGAGCCGACTGCCTCGAGCAGGACGCGCGCAAGCCGGCGGACATACGGGTACGGGTCGACGACCAGGCCAACGAGGACCGACCAAACTGCCGCGCACACCATGTGGCCGGGATTGTCACTGGTGGGTGGCATGCTGTTGGTCTCGTCACCGGGCTCGCCTGGCCCGCCGCTCTTGCCATCGCCCGCAAACCGACTTGCTTCGTCGCGGTAAAACTCCGTGGCAACCTCCACAAACAGCGCCATGTTGGCAGCCATGTACTCGGCAAACGCATGGAGGAGTTCGCGGCGGACAAGCTGCGAGGCGTCGGTTGTGACCTGCAGCAGTTGAAACGCGATCGACTGGTCGACCTCGGCGCGCTGGGCAGCCTCGGCCCGCGCCCGCGCCCGCGCCCGCGCTGGCAGCGCCGACAGCGGACCATCAAACAGCGCGCCGAGCGCAAAGGTGGCAGCTGCACGGACCTCGGGCACCTGGTGGAGCAAGTGCGGGGTGACAGAGTCGAGTGCATAGTGGCGTTTGGCCTCGACCTTGACGTCTTCGGCCCGGAGCCAGAGCTTGCCAAGCGCAGTGCATGCCCAGACTATGACCCGCGGGTGCGCCGCCGTCTCGAGCACTCGCATGCAAGCGCTCAGCATGCCTGCCAGGAGACAGGCGTTTTGGCCGGCCGGAAAGTTGGCAACGATGGCGGCGAGCACAAAAAGCGCATGCACTTGCTCGCGCTGCGCAGCTTCCAGCTCGCTTGATGATGGCGCCACCGCCAAGACGTTTCCGGTGGCGACCACAAGAGCATTGACAAAGTATCCGTGGACCCCGTTCTTGACCAGATCCTTCTGGCACGACGGGTCAACCGCCAGAATCTTGGCCCAGATGAAGACCAAGACCGGGCGCAGATCCGCTGCCGGCGACTGCAGCAGCTTGAGAACGTACGGGAAGATACCAACCGAGAGTGCAAGGTTGACCGCCCAAGCGTCCATGTCCACAAACCGTGCCAGTAGCTGCAGCGCACGCAGCCTGTGTGACTGCGAGAGCAAGACTTGCAACACAATCGGGAGCTGCTCCGGCGGATCCAGTCCGACGGCGCCAAGCTCGAGCCACAGCTCAAACGCTGTCAGCTGCTCGGCAAAAAACGTCGAGTGCCTGTATCGCGGCGGCCCGCTCGGTGGCGGGTGGATCATGACTGCCACCTGCGCGAGACACACGTCCGCCGCCAGGTCCCACGCCTCCCACAGCGGGTGGTTGTGGGTAGTCGGCAGTGCGGGGACCGAGATCGGCGTGCAGCCCGAGGCACGCATGACACGCTCGGCAAGAAGAAAGTTGCGGAAGAGCGAGGCCACAAGCAGGTCCTGGCGGAACAACTTCTGGAAGAGCGGCCGCGGCAGAACGTTCCACGCAATCGAATCGGTGATGGCCGTAAAGATCCAGTTGAGCTCGCCAAGCGGCGTCCGCCGGTCGGAGAGCCGCCCCGGAATGGCGTCCACCACCTCGAGGCCGACCGAGGAGAGAACCGAAGTGGCACAGAACCAGCGGAGCGCCATCTTGATCGGTGTGGTGAGGCAGGCGGTAAAGACATCGGCGGGGAGCACCGGATTCTGCGGCAGGCTCTCCTCAGGGCCGCACGCCGCGAGAATGAGGCAGTCCTTCATCGAGAACGGGCGCGGCGTCGACCGACCGCGGGCGGAGCCATCCGAACCGCGGCTGCGGGAGGCCTTGCGCGACGACCGCGACGATCTGCTCCGCCCGCCGATGCCTCCTGACACGCTGCCGTCGCGTCCGGATCCTTCTGCGCCTCGCCCGCCGCGCGCCTGCTCCGCCGCTGCTGCCCGCGCCTCGTCACGCATCCGCTGCTTGCCGAACCGCAACAGGGCGTCGACGAGGAGCCCGGCCCCTGCGCAGTCAAAAACAAAAATCGACGGCGAGCCGAGCCACGACTGCAGATCGTACATCGAGAGCGGGATGTACTGGGTGTAGTTGGAGTTGAAGACCCACATCTCGCCCGAGGTCGTCGGATGCGGTACCCCATGCCCGTTGTAGTGGAAAAGCACGTGCGCGTCGCGGGCGTGTCGCCGCAGTGAGAGGCATAGCGTCTTGACGTCATCAGCAGTCGGATCAAGCCCCTGCTTGTATCGCGTCTTGAGCTGCCATCGCGCATACTGTGCCTGCAATGCGTTGCCGATCGTCTCCAGGCTCTCCCGCGGCGGGAGCGACGACGGGTCAACCCAGCACTCGAGCCGGGCGCATGGCTCGATCTTGATCACGTCCGGCGGGTCCACGCCCACATTGAGACACATGACCAGCGCCACAGACAAGGTCTTCATCTACATCCCCTCCTCCAACCACACAGCCAAGCACAAACCTTCTACAGTGAGCCACCTTTGAACCACCCAACTCCTCCAAACCATATTACCAGCCCTCATGGTCCCGGCCGCCAGCGGGGGATCCTGTCTGTGAAAAGAGCCGTAGAAGCCACGCGCTTAGCCTCCCCCCCCCCCCCCCCCCCTCGCCGGGCCCCACCCTTGCCAGTCGTACCCGTTCACGCATGCGCCAGTCCTGCAGCCGCGGAGCACCGAACGAGTCCAAGGCCAGGTGGCGTGCATGCGTGGTGAAAAACTGAGGCTGGCTCGGCCCATGGGCCTCCTCGCCCGTCGTCTTGGCCATGTCCGACGAGTGGGGAGTGCCAGTGTGAGGGTGAGTGTTCGGGGGAGAGTGGGAGGGAGAGCAAGCCGACGGACCGGCGGGTCGGGCGGACGGACGGACGGACCGGCGGAAGGGGTGCGAGACTACACGCGGTCATCGACGCATAAACCATGCCATTCCTGTCGTACCACCTCACTCCACCCTATCCTCCCCCCCCCCCCCCCCCCCCCCCCCCACCACACACACACACACACCTCCCCCCGCTGCTTGTGCGCCATGTCGGACTCGGACTCGGACGACAACGTGGGCGCCTTTACCTGGGAGCAAACGTATGAGCGCCCGTGGGAGACCCTGCGCGAGGCTGGCGATGGCACACTGGTGGGTGTGGACAAGCTGAGGCAGAATCTGCTGGAAAACACGTACGTATAGATGCAAAAGACGGGCTGCTGGATAGAGGTTGAGAGGAGGAAGGAGGATGGGCTATGGGTGGGGAGCGTGTGCGCACCCGATGCAGAGGCTGCGCACGGCACACATCTGCACACAGCACGCGTACGCCGAACACAAGTACGCCGAGCATGATGCCGAGACACAGCCATGGCGTCCGATGAGGCCTTGCCTGTTCGTGTACTCGCATGTACGTGTGCGAGACCGCGGAGAAGCCTTCCATCCACTCACACCTTTCCACGGCATCCATCAGACGGGTCGAGGCCGATGACGAGGGCATGGTCCGCCGTGGCATCATCCGACGGCTGTTTGTCATCCTGGACATGTCGACGTCGCTGCGGGCAACCGACATGCGGCCGACGCGGCATGCAGTGGTGGTCAAGGCCATGGAGGCGTTTGTGCGCGAGTTCTTTGACCTGAATCCCATCTCGCACATGGGCATTATCGTGACCAAGTCGCGCAAGGCGACGCTTGTCACCGAGATGGGCGGCAATCCATCGCAGCACATCGAGGCACTGTCCGGCCCAGGCCTGACCGTTGGCGCCGAGCCCTCGCTGCAGAACGCGCTCAACTTGGCCAAGACATCACTTGCCTCGCTGCCAAAGTACGGCGCCCGCGAGATCCTCGTCGTCTTCTCGTCGCTCACAACATGTGATCCAGGCAATGTGCTTCACACCATCAATGAGGTCCGCGACGCTGGAATCAGAGCGTCAGTCATCGGCTTTGGCGCTGCGCTGCGGGTCCTGCAGTACCTCGCCGACGCCACGGGCGGAAAGTACGCCGTCCCGACCTCGTCACACCACTTTCGACAGATCCTGCTCTCGCATGCGGTTCCGACCCCTGTCAAGCGCGGGGCCAAGGCCTTTGGTAACGCGCTCGTCAAGATGGGCTTTCCTGGCGTCGAGACGCCGGCAGGGCCGGAGCACAACCCAGGAACGGTGACCGACACCCGGGCCGTCGCTTCGCTCTGCGCCTGCCACCAGTACCTCACGGATACTGGCTACATCTGCCCCAACTGCGGGTCCAAGATGTGCGAGATCCCGACCGATTGCGTCACCTGCGGACTGACCCTGGTGGCCCCGCCGCATCTCGCCCGCTCCTACCACCACCTCTTTCCTGTTGCCAAGTACGAGCCGCCATCGGCCGACGTGCTCGCCGCTCTCCCGGGCTCGTGCTTTGCCTGTGCCGCCCTCCTCCCACCAGTTGCTACTGTTGACAACGCGCCGTTTCGCGTCTGCCCGCTCTGCCACCAGCTCTTTTGTTTCGAGTGTGACAACTTTGTCCACGACACGCTCCACAACTGTCCCGGGTGCCAGATGCCGGCTCACGCGCCCGCCGAGCCGCAAAAGGCATCGTATCCGAGTCAGGCAGCGGCGGCAACCTCGTCGCAGCCCTGAGCTCACTTGCCCTGCTGCGAGTAAAAGAGAACGAGCTCCTTGAACCGGGCCTTGCACTCCTTCTTGTTCTTGCCGTCGACGGCGGCGGCGATGGCCTTCCACCGCTCCTTGCCCATGTCCTTGGTGTACTTGACCATGGCGTCCTCGAGCTGCTTTTGCTGGGTAGGCGTCCAGTCGCCCATGGGCGGGCCGGCCGGCGCGCCTGCAGCGGGCGCAGGGCTCGGCGCCGACGGTGTAGGACTCGACGCTGTTGTTGTTGCGCTTGGCGGCGGCATGCTCTTGTAGTCGCGCATCTTGACCTGGCACTCTTTGACGCTCCGGCCGACAAAGCCGGCAATTTCCTGCCACCGGTTGGCTGTTCCGCCGGGAAACTTGGCCACGGCTTTGGCAAAGAGCGAGAGCTCATCGGCAGTCCACGGCTTGCTGCTCACCTTGGCCGATGCCGCCTGGCGGGCCTTACGGGCCTCGTTTTCGCGCGCAAGGATCTGTCGCGACTCTTCGATCCGCGCCTTGACTCCGGCAGCGGCTGCGGAAATGATCTTGCGGATAACGACTGCCTGCTCTTCGCTGACCTTTGCGTTGCGGTCGCCGCCGCCGCCACCAGCTCCTCGTACACCGCAATGAGCTCGTCCTCGTGGGCGTCGATGACAAACTGCTCGCAGAGGGTAAACTCGAGCTCGGCAGTCTTGGCGTGCTGGCGAATGGTCTTGCGGGCGGTCTTGCGAAGCCGCTGGCGCTGCTGGCGCTTGGCGGCGGCCTCGGCGGCGGCGGCCTCCTCGGCGGCAGCCTTGGCCTCGGCCTTGGCCTTGCGGGCCTGGGCCTGGGCCTCGCGGCGGGCCTTGGCCTCAGCCTTTTTGGCAGCCTTGGCATCAGCCTTGGCCTTGCGAGCCGCAGCCTTGGCGGCCTTGATCCGCGGGTCGTACTTTTGCGCCGTTCGCACAAGCTTGTCAAGCCGGGCCACCTCGGCCTTGCGGCGGGCCTTGTTCTCGCGCTCGTTGTGCTTGAGCATCCAGCGCCGCTCGTACCGATCGCCGGCCTTGCTTAGATCGTACTCACAGAGCATTGAGAGGTCGCGCCAGGACTCAAAGGCAAGCCAAAAGTCGTAAAAGGCCTCCACGTCGGCATATGGTGACTCGGCGTCGCCAAAGTCGGCAACGGTAGGCTCGTGGAGCGACCAGCGGAGGTTACGTGCAAAGACGGGGCGCAGCAGTTCATAGTACGCGTTGCCACCGGCCGTTGCCGCCCGGATCATGTCGTCTTCTGAAGGTACGGCGTCACACGTCCGGTACAGCGAGTCGTACTTGACCCGCTCGGCTGGGTCGGAGAGGAGGTCGAACGCTACCTGCACCGCGTCAAAGGCCTTACCGTCAGCCATGTCTTCGTTCTTGTCCGGGTGAGTGACGAGGACCATGGCGCGGTAGGCGGCCTTGAGCTCGTCGGCCGAGGCGCCGAGCCCGGCGGCACCCAGCCCCAGCGCAGCGTAGTGATCCTGGCTCATTGCCTTGGGCACGCCGTCCCCGCCGTCGTCCTCGCGCTCCTGGCCGCGTTCACGCTCGGCAGCCTTGCGAGCCTCTCGGATGCTCGCCATCCGGCCGCGCATCTCAGGCGAGATATGGTCGCGGCCTCTGCCCTCGGACGTGGCCAAGAGCTCATTAAGGCCCCAGCGGGTGTATGCTCCGGCATGACTAGCCTGAGCATCAGTGGCTCCTTCGTCGTCATCGCTTCCACTCCCGTGCTCGTCGCCCCATCCGCTAGTCCCAGCCAGCCGTGCCCGGACCTCATCAGCGCCAACCATGCCTGCGCCCGAGCCTGCCCAGGGGACGACCGCCAGGACGGGCTGCGCACGCACAGCCGTGGGAGCGAGTGGGTAGCCCATAGGTTCTGGCTGTGTTGCTGCCGTTGGTACGGGGAGTTCAAACACCATTTCTGTTATGGTGAGGTGTGTGGGTGTGTGGGAGGGTAGGGGGAGGGGGGGGGGGGGAGGGGGAGGGGGGAGGGGAGGGGGGATGTGTGATGGAGTGAACCTGGTGGGGGAGGAGGAGGGCCGGGAGAAAGGGGAGTTGTTCAGCGATGGGTGTGAGGATGGCGGGATGAGAGAGTGATCAGAAGGAAGACGATGAGGAAGAGGAAGAGGAGGAGGAGGAGGGGGAGAGGGGGGGGGCGAGATGGTGATGCATGATGCATGTACATTGAGTGGGTGATGGTGGGTGCACTGCGGCGTGCCCCCCCCCCCCCCCCCACCCCTCCCTCCCTCCGTCGGTACGGGGTACGGGTACGGTAC